CGCTTAACTCGTTCGACTTTACGAACATACCCAATGTTAACTTTACATTCCAAAGATAAAGTTTTTCTTTTCTTGTTTGATATAGAAGAATTAGTTCTACTTCGTTTGGATGACAGTAGAGTCTCTCGAGTCTCCGTAGATATAACAAACACAGAAATAAATAACACAAAATAAATTGTAGCTATGTGTGGATTCCGCATGACACATCCGAACATGTAAGCTGAACAATAGTGTGGGGGGAGTGAGTAATCAAGGGTTGCGTGGTGCTCAAACAAAAGACGAATCAACGAGATTTGAAAATCGCGTAACTCCGGGTTCACGCAAGTCGGGGTATTACTGTATATGATGATGTAGAAAACTGTTAAATTTTCTATTGTGCAATTATTTTACTATTTATGTAAATTGATTTAAGTTGTATTTTCTAGGTTTTTTCTTATATTTCATACAATGTGATTTTACATTTTGTAATATTCACTTGTGTAAAGATTATGAAGTTGCTTTAAATTGTATCATCATTTATTTATAAAAGATTTTAAAGATCTTTGACAGAAAGGAACAAATGAGCTTTTTTTTTTTTATTAATTAATGATGATGATTAATTTATTTTTGTATTCTTGCTGTAGTGTATTCTCTTGAATGGCATATTATTCATAAAAAAAGTTTTCATAAAAATATTATTTAAAACACTAAACGACTTCCAACAACTTAACACTTAGTTGAGTAATAACAATCCATGAAAACCTGTTTGTGCTTCAGGTGGTGACTGAAGCAGTCACCACCTGAATCAGACCTAAGTGAAGGTCAAAAGCGTTTGTGGAGTTAGTTAAGGACATAACACTTGTACAAAAAGGTTTTCGTGGATTGTTATATTATTTAAAGTTATCTTTTTATTTAATATACCTTCTATTTTTTATAATTATATTATACATAATTTTTTGTATTTTAAAAGTTTTTGCTCTCTTTTACAATAAATTTATCCATATATTTTTTTCATATAATGTAATCTATAATGGTAATACAGTAAAACCTCATTAAGTAAAAGTTTAAAAGGCCAAAAAGTCTTGATTAAGTTAAGTTTCGAATGAATGAGTTTAATACCTAATTTTCTCAAATTTTTCTGTGGCCATAAACTTTCTGCAATTAATCTGTTTTTCATGAATCTGTTCACAGAATGATTACAAAATTGTATACAGTTTATGGGTACTTTTGAATGCATTGTCAAAGGATCCCCTTCTGACCCAATTAGAATGCCAATTTCAGTCAAAGGATGTTGATTCAAGAATGTAATGGTATGGTGTTGTGTTAGGCATGGAGCTGTAGTGTTTATCTTAATTGCCTATATTCACATGGAATATAAGAGAAAATGAAGATCACAGATGGTGGTCCTATCAAAGAGTGGAATGTACACAAGAAAAAAGATGATTTAAAAATACTGACAATTATATATATAGACATATCAAAGCTTGATATTCATTATAAAGCCAAACAATTGCCAGATTCAATCAGACTACTTTCCTGCTGCTATTAATAATTAAATAATTTGGAACTAGAGGCTCTAGTGTCAAATTATTTAATTATTAATAGTAGTGGAAAAGTAGCCTGATTTAATCCAGCAATCATTTAGCTTTAGTACTGACAATTTCAACTTAATGAAGTTTTGCTATATTTCATAATTGATACACCACCCATCATCTATTTACATATCATAAGTTTGTATATTTTTACTTCTTTTCCCAATTGTTATGGTGCAGATGTAAAACTCACTTCAGCTTAAAATTAAGCTAAAAAAATTCATCAAAATGTTCATATTGTTTTTTCCATTATCCACATCAATCAGAGACTAGGACTCACAGCCAAGGAAAGTTTCAGAATAATTCTTTATTTATGCTATGAATTTTGGGTGACAACAATCCAATTACCCGTCCTCAGGCTAAAATTAAGATGATTAGAGTTATTTATCTATTAGATGTTAGAAAATATAAAACCAAATATATAAATACTAACTAACCTTTAAAATTTTATTTTTTTTAAGAATCACTCCTAAACCATCGACAGATTCACATTCTCATTCAGCTAATGTTAGTTTATTGGTTAAATTGTACATATGTACAATTCAACCAATAAACCAAATAAACTAAATAGCCAATAATATATACTGATGAACTAACTAACTACCCCAGATATTCATATATTATGTAAATCCAGTTGTTTATATAGGTGAAACAGGGAGACATCTTCTAAGTAGAATTAAAGATGTGAAGCGGCATTGTAATTAAGATATAACTAACCTTTGTGGTTCAAGCATTGTAATGAATATAAATGTACTATTGATTAGAAAAATATAAAAATACTTTATAGAGAAAAAGACCTGTATTTATGCTGATTTAAAGAACATATTACAATAATTTTTCATGTAAGAATTTTATAGTTTTACAAAAAAATTTTTTAATTTCAGATTTGTGTGCAGATTAAGTTAAGTAATGCTGGGCTGACTAAAATAATCATATTCACTCCATTCTATCTCATCTTAAATAAGTCTCAGGTAAAGTAATGTTTTTGAAAATTATCATTTTTCTTAATTATCAGAATCTAAGATGTAAAGATGACAAAATTGTTTAAGATCATGACAAATTGATAACAATTTTCTATCAGTTTATATTTGAAATTTAGTATTTCAAACATGAATGTAAGAATTTTGAAAACTAACTTTAAAATACATTTTTTAATAAAAATTAAGCTTTAAATGTTTTTGTGTTATGGAATTATTAAAATATAATTTGAAAACAATGGCAGTAGGAACTCTATTTGCAGCAGTTAAGTTTTACAAAACTGCTATGAGCAGTGAAATCATAAACACAGAAAAGTGAAATATATTTTTAAAAAGTCCATCAACAAGTGTAACTTTTCCAACAAAAACATTTAAAATTGTATGTGGTGCCATCTGTTATGATACTTTATTTTTAAAAAAATTTTTATATTATTAAGTTGTTCTAAAATGGAAAAAGCTTAATTTTGAAGTTAGAGATGAGTTTTATAAAAAAATTTTAAATGCTGATAATGAATAAAATCTTTGTTAATGACCCTACTGGAGATGTGACACACGAGCACCCTTTATCTCCCCACCCCATTGACTTTAAACCACCAAAATTTAATAGTATTAATTCCAGTAATACATGAATCTCTATGCAAAATTTCAGAAATTTTTGAGGAAAACAAAAACAGGAGTTAAGCTACAAAATGGGTAAACAAAATCGTTCCCCCACACAAACACACACTCTGATTTTATATTTTTATTTCTTGTCATTTCTAGGTCTCAAGTCCAAAAAATTTAAAAATATTCAAAATTTAAAAATATTGTTATTTAAAACAGGTGGGAAAGTATGTCAATCAGTAGAAAAATAGTCATTTTTCTACTGATTGACATACTTTCCCACCTGTTATAAATAACAGATGAGAAAGTAAAAATAAGGTTAAGGGATTAAAAAATATATATAATTATAAAATAAGAAAAACATTTTCATACAAAGATGTTTTACTACCACATTTCCAGTCTGCCTGTATTTCTTAATATATCTTATGACATATCCACTTACCACAAAAGTGCAAGGAACACATTGCTGAATTTCCTCTCNTTTTTTTTTTTATTAATTAATGATGATGATTAATTTATTTTTGTATTCTTGCTGTAGTGTATTCTCTTGAATGGCATATTATTCATAAAAAAAGTTTTCATAAAAATATTATTTAAAACACTAAACGACTTCCAACAACTTAACACTTAGTTGAGTAATAACAATCCATGAAAACCTGTTTGTGCTTCAGGTGGTGACTGAAGCAGTCACCACCTGAATCAGACCTAAGTGAAGGTCAAAAGCGTTTGTGGAGTTAGTTAAGGACATAACACTTGTACAAAAAGGTTTTCGTGGATTGTTATATTATTTAAAGTTATCTTTTTATTTAATATACCTTCTATTTTTTATAATTATATTATACGTAATTTTTTGTATTTTAAAAGTTTTTGCTCTCTTTTACAATAAATTTATCCATATATTTTTTTCATATAATGTAATCTATAATGGTAATACAGTAAAACCTCATTAAGTAAAAGTTTAAAAGGCCAAAAAGTCTTGATTAAGTTAAGTTTCGAATGAATGAGTTTAATACCTAATTTTCTCAAATTTTTCTGTGGCCATAAACTTTCTGCAATTAATCTGTTTTTCATGAATCTGTTCACAGAATGATTACAAAATTGTATACAGTTTATGGGTACTTTTGAATGCATTGTCAAAGGATCCCCTTCTGACCCAATTAGAATGCCAATTTCAGTCAAAGGATGTTGATTCAAGAATGTAATGGTATGGTGTTGTGTTAGGCATGGAGCTGTAGTGTTTATCTTAATTGCCTATATTCACATGGAATATAAGAGAAAATGAAGATCACAGATGGTGGTCCTATCAAAGAGTGGAATGTACACAAGAAAAAAGATGATTTAAAAATACTGACAATTATATATATAGACATATCAAAGCTTGATATTCATTATAAAGCCAAACAATTGCCAGATTCAATCAGACTACTTTACTGCTGCTATTAATAATTAAATAATTTGGAACTAGAGGCTCTAGTGTCAAATTATTTAATTATTAATAGTAGTGGAAAAGTAGCCTGATTTAATCCAGCAATCATTTAGCTTTAGTACTGACAATTTCAACTTAATGAAGTTTTGCTATATTTCATAATTGATACACCACCCATCATCTATTTACATATCATAAGTTTGTATATTTTTACTTCTTTTCCCAATTGTTATGGTGCAGATGTAAAACTCACTTCAGCTTAAAATTAAGCTAAAAAAATTCATCAAAATGTTCATATTGTTTTTTCCATTATCCACATCAATCAGAGACTAGGACTCACAGCCAAGGAAAGTTTCAGAATAATTCTTTATTTATGCTATGAATTTTGGGTGACAACAATCCAATTACCCGTCCTCAGGCTAAAATTAAGATGATTAGAGTTATTTATCTATTAGATGTTAGAAAATATAAAACCAAATATATAAATACTAACTAACCTTTAAAATTTTATTTTTTTTAAGAATCACTCCTAAACCATCGACAGATTCACATTCTCATTCAGCTAATGTTAGTTTATTGGTTAAATTGTACATATGTACAATTCAACCAATAAACCAAATAAACTAAATAGCCAATAATATATACTGATGAACTAACTAACTACCCCAGATATTCATATATTATGTAAATCCAGTTGTTTATATAGGTGAAACAGGGAGACATCTTCTAAGTAGAATTAAAGATGTGAAGCGGCATTGTAATTAAGATATAACTAACCTTTGTGGTTCAAGCATTGTAATGAATATAAATGTACTATTGATTAGAAAAATATAAAAATACTTTATAGAGAAAAAGACCTGTATTTATGCTGATTTAAAGAACATATTACAATAATTTTTCATGTAAGAATTTTATAGTTTTACAAAAAAATTTTTTAATTTCAGATTTGTGTGCAGATTAAGTTAAGTAATGCTGGGCTGACTAAAATAATCATATTCACTCCATTCTATCTCATCTTAAATAAGTCTCAGGTAAAGTAATGTTTTTGAAAATTATCATTTTTCTTAATTATCAGAATCTAAGATGTAAAGATGACAAAATTGTTTAAGATCATGACAAATTGATAACAATTTTCTATCAGTTTATATTTGAAATTTAGTATTTCAAACATGAATGTAAGAATTTTGAAAACTAACTTTAAAATACATTTTTTAATAAAAATTAAGCTTTAAATGTTTTTGTGTTATGGAATTATTAAAATATAATTTGAAAACAATGGCAGTAGGAACTCTATTTGCAGCAGTTAAGTTTTACAAAACTGCTATGAGCAGTGAAATCATAAACACAGAAAAGTGAAATATATTTTTAAAAAGTCCATCAACAAGTGTAACTTTTCCAACAAAAACATTTAAAATTGTATGTGGTGCCATCTGTTATGATACTTTATTTTTAAAAAAATTTTTATATTATTAAGTTGTTCTAAAATGGAAAAAGCTTAATTTTGAAGTTAGAGATGAGTTTTATAAAAAAATTTTAAATGCTGATAATGAATAAAATCTTTGTTAATGACCCTACTGGAGATGTGACACACGAGCACCCTTTATCTCCCCACCCCATTGACTTTAAACCACCAAAATTTAATAGTATTAATTCCAGTAATACATGAATCTCTATGCAAAATTTCAGAAATTTTTGAGGAAAACAAAAACAGGAGTTAAGCTACAAAATGGGTAAACAAAATCGTTCCCCCACACAAACACACACTCTGATTTTATATTTTTATTTCTTGTCATTTCTAGGTCTCAAGTCCAAAAAATTTAAAAATATTCAAAATTTAAAAATATTGTTATTTAAAACAGGTGGGAAAGTATGTCAATCAGTAGAAAAATAGTCATTTTTCTACTGATTGACATACTTTCCCACCTGTTATAAATAACAGATGAGAAAGTAAAAATAAGGTTAAGGGATTAAAAAATATATATAATTATAAAATAAGAAAAACATTTTCATACAAAGATGTTTTACTACCACATTTCCAGTCTGCCTGTATTTCTTAATATATCTTATGACATATCCACTTACCACAAAAGTGCAAGGAACACATTGCTGAATTTCCTCTCTTTAAATGATCTAGCACTTTAATTTTGTCTTTGAGAAACCAGGGTTGTTGAGTTGGAAAATGATATTTGATGGAGTTGAATCATTACATTTTCACTAACTTCAACCTTGATATAAACTTATAATCTATTTTTTTGTTTTAAGTTTAAGTCTGAAAAGTAACCTGATAATTCATCTACAGTTTGCCATTTTAAAGGTATGTTTACATCAATATAACAGTGTTGCAGACTGCATTTTGTTACCTCATTATGAACCATAACCCATGCCATTTTTGTGAACAGAGAGACAATCATTTTTGATGAACATGGTTTTGTGCAATCCACTGCAATACTTTCCATAGCATTTGAACAAACCACTTTGTCTAGTAAACATGGAATTAGCTGCAGCTGCTTAAAGTGTGTCCACACCTATGCTACCTTTAGGTATGCTTTCATAGATGTATAACATGCTATCCTTTGATGGTTCACTGAAAAACCAACAAGAAATACCTCAATAGAGCCTGCCAAACTATTTTGCAAACCTTTGATTGACATCAAACATCATACTGTAGAGTCTTTTGCTATGTCAAAAACTGGTTTATCAAATGATAACAGCATTGTGACATTGTTGCATAGATGTGAACATTTAAGATTTTATAAAGGATTGGAGTTCAAACAGTTTTGTGTGTTATCTTGACAGCCCTGAAAGAAACATCACTAGTTTTGGTATTTTTGATACTTTGCCACTAAAATCTTACTGTTTGTATACATGACATTGTTGATTTGCAAGGATTAAAAGAAAAAGTAACTAAAGTTTGTAAGCAAAATATACACTGACATTCACAATTCACACTAATATAAAACACAAG